GTATCTACTTGGTTCAAAAATCAAAACTATACAAAAGATACACAGTGCAGTCTCACATTGTTCCTGGCCCCCCTTCACTTACTGATCCCTATGTGGGTAACCACTACCACTTTTGTCTCTGTGTATCCTTCCAGAATTTTTTAGTAATAAAAATTACTTTTCTTGTTTATCCCACTCTTTTTTATAATCAGGGTACCATGCAATTATACTGCTCTGCATCTTGCTCTTCCATTATTAGTTTCTAGAGAGAATCCTCATTCTTTTTCAGAGTTGCATAATATTCTCCTCTGTGAATGTGCCATATTTACTTAACCTGTCCTTTGTTGATGGACACGTGGATGGTTTTTAGCCTTTGCTGTTATAACCAAGTAACCTTGCAGTTATATCTGTAGACTAGATTCTGTGAGAGGAGTTACTGGACCAGAGGTTCCTTGTCATGCTGATAGATTGTGCCACATTGCCATCATGGGGGCGGTACCAGTCAGCCCTCCCTCCAGCGAGGCATGAGAAGATTCAGTCCCTTTCTAAGTCCTTTCCATCTCTGTCTACTAATAACCTGCTCCATTCCAAATTGGACTCCTTGAAATGATCAAATTGGTGTGTAATGGGTTTATAGGAGGGGGCCTTATTGTATTCCATTAGCACCTACAGTCTCCACCTCTTTTGCATTTGTTAACCCTGTAACTTGACAGACCTCAAGGACACGTCAGAGGCTAGTGAGGCAGAGACGCAGGGCCGGCCGTTCCTGGTGTCTCCCTGGGAAGACGGTGCCAGACCTTCTGGGCGAAGGGAGATGTCCACAGCAAGGTTTCAGGGTTAACGTTAGTTCCACTCCTGCCCAGAGGTACAGTCCCATGAACCTCCCTGTCAGCAGCATGAGATGACGAGGCAGAGAGGGTGCCCCGAGCCCACCTGGCACAGGGACTCAGAAGGCCACTAGAAGGCCGTGGTGAGGAGAGAAGATGATCACGCTTGAGTCACGTCTCTATTTCTGTCTCGATTCATTCACCAAACCTTTCTTCACCAACTAATGAACAAAAACTGTTGGTTTTTATAAGTTGGCCTGTGCTTTCGCACATGAACTGAGCTGAATGCTGTCAGGCCTGCCCGCCTCTGTTCTGCTGTGTCCGGAGGGCTGTGGGTGAACCGGACACACTGGGACAAGGGGTCCTGTGGGCCTTACATCTGGGTGACCAGGGCCCAGAATGCTCAGTTAGAGGGGGATGGGTCCAGCTGTGACAGGGATCCCCCACCACGGCCCTCCACGGCGGCTGTCTGGGGTGGAAAGAGGAGCAGGGCAGCAGCGTTCTCCTGCTTGCTGCTCTGGGCCCTCATGCCGGAGGGGAGAAGAGGCACGGGCCTCTGCATGGGCTTCTCCCGAGGAGCAAGAACAGCAGGGGAGTTGGACATTGTGCTGAGGCTCTGGAACTGCAGCTGCGAGGGGGACGTTCACTGTTGAAGGGAGGGTGGGAGCGAGAGAGTCTTTATATTTGCGTCTCTGAGTTTTGAAGGTCTATGGTTCCACTCAACCTAAACATCTTAGAGCAAGGTTCTTAAATTTGGGGGGTCAGGTACCCCTTTTAGAAGCTGAAAGCCATGGGTCAACCCTCTGTCCAGAATAAAAGCACTCACCTTAAGGGTGGTGGAGCACATCAACAGATTCACACACAGTTTCAGGGGTCACTGGAGCTCCAGAAGCCCATCCCCCAACTCTCTTAGGATAGCAGTTCTCACTTATTATTAGTGTTATTATTGTTTTTTCCTTGCTTTTCATCACTTTATTTATTTTATTTTTTAAATATATTTCATTAATTATGCCATTACAGTTGTTCTATTCCCCCTTCATTCCCTTCCACCCTGCACACCCCTCCCCCACCATCCCCCCCTTTAGTTTATGACCATGTGTCTCAAGTTCTTTAGATTCTATATTTCCCATACTATTCTTGCCCTCCCCCTATCTATTTTCTACCTACCATCTATGCTACTTCTTACTATTTCTATGTTGTTATTTTGCCTGCATGCTGCACTCAGCACAATGAACGTTGTTCATGCACGTGCTGATTCTCTATGGAGACAACCCTGTGGGAATGGGGAAGAACGGGGTAGTTTGAACAATCGCTGGCCAAGGAGCCTGTGGAACTGGGTTCCGAATGCCTGACATAGAGGGTTGTTCGCTTTGCTTGAAAAGCAGAGGGGTGAGAGGTGTTTATCTTCCCCAGACATTGCCCAGGCACCTACCCTGGCTGTGGGGTGAGCAGGAGACTGGGTGTGCAATTTGGGCTTCTCTCCACGTTCCCTGCTCGGAATGAGTGTCTTCGCTCACTCCAGAGCACCCTGATGCCCTTGCTCAGAGGTTGCCTAGGAAGATGGGTGAGGCCAGGCAGATGGGAGGGCTGCTGCCTGCCATTCCCAGGCTCCCCAGCAGGGCTGCATTCAATCTCCTGGGGAAGGTGGGGAGGTTAATGACTCATTATCCCAGCCATTAGTCACGTCACCAAGGCACTTGATTGTCTGCAGGATGGGTGCCACGTGATGCCAGTGTGGCCTGTTCAGTGCTGCTTCTCTCCTGCCCTGGGTGAGGTGTGCAGCCCTAGAAAACAGTCACTGCCTTCTTCAGGTGCAGACTTGTGGCTGTAGCAGCCCCTGGACCTAGAGACTGGGGTGAAATGGTCTCTTGCCTGTGCCCCATCCCCAAAGCCACCAAGACCTCCAGGGACCAAGGGGACCCGTTAAGGAAAGGAGTATGTGGATACTTCAGCAAAGGTTCCAGCACGTGCCCCGTACACACATCACATGTGTAGATGTCGTCTCCGCATGCACATGTGGACATAGACATATGAGGGGAGGCCCCCAAACCTGGACGTTATTTGTAAAAGCTCGTGTGTGTATTCTTGCATGTTAAAACTTCAGTCACCTTCGAAGTACTCTCCATTTGAGGCAATACACCTATCAAAACTTTTTCCACTGCCCAAAACAGCTTTTGAACTCAATTTTGATGGCTTTTAGTGCTTCTGCCATCTTTTGTTTTACCTCTTCCACATCGGCAAAACACTTCCCTTTGAGGACTTATTTCATCTGGGAACACAAAAGAAAGTCGCTCAGGGCAAGATGGAGTGAGTAGTGAGAGTGGGGTTTTGGGGTCATGTTGTTTTTGGTCAAAAACTGCCAAACACTCAGCGTGGTGTGGGCAGGGGCCCTTGTAAATCACCCATCATGAAATGGGCAAATGTGTTGAAAGAGCCTTAAAAAAAAATTCACTGAATCCTCTCACAGCCTCTCACAACAACGCCAGCTAGTCCACCTATGCAGACGGGTTCCTAGAACGCTCACCTAGTGGGGGAAGCCTGTACTACAAAGGGCTCACCCTCCAGAAGATAATTCCAGGTTTGGGGGGCCCTTCCCGTATGAACACGTGTGAGGTCCTCAAAGGCTGAGCAGGGAAGAGGCTCCAGCAGGAAGGACTCAGGGGCGGGAGGGTCCTGCCTTGTTCCCCTGTCCTGGGATGCCCTCACTGAGCCGGCCAGTCTCCCGGGACTCTCCAGCTTTTTGACTTCGGGACAAGAGAGGCCAAACAAAACTTATAGACAGCAGTGACTGCCTGTCACTTACTAAAATGTAGACAAAACAGGTGAGAACATCTCTTTTACAGTGGTTATGTCCTAAGTCTGGGTCTCCTGTTCTAATATTAGTCACAATAAGTGAGAAGCTTCATTTCCCCTGTTTCTAAGAGAACAGCATCTCCACCCACCTCTGTGATCCTGTCGCCAATGCATCCTCTCCTCTCCCTGCCGAGGAGAGGTCTTGCAAAATCCCAGGCCTTACAGGTGAGCCAAAGAACAGAGTCTGGACAAAAAGGGGTGAGGAGTCAGGGACTGATGGGGGTCAAGTGCCCCATGCAAGTGGGATCCTGTTGATCTCGTAACATTCATACCAGTCCTTAGAAGGATTCCCCACTTCACAGACGGTAAAACAGAGACTCAGAGCATTAGTCACACAAGTTTTCCAGAGAAAGTATGAGTGGCTGCAACAGCTCAGACCCTGTTGGCCTGGCTCCCCTGCTCCAGCACAGCACTGTTTCCAGTCCTCATGAAAACAGGACCTGTGGCGTGAAGGTGGCACCTTCCTGCCCTCTTAACACTCCTGCAGAAGGTGCCAGAAGCTCAGGCCAGGGTTTGGGGCCCTGGGTCCTAGTCCTAACACTACCACTATGTTTCTGTAATCAAATAAATTGCTTCCCCTTTCTGGACTTTTTCCTGCTCTCTTGTAAAGCAGTTAGCTTGGCCTCAATAATGGCCAAGTCCCTTCTTCCCCCCTACCCCCATATACACACACAAGTATTTTTAGATTCTATACATGGCCACGGTAACTCCCCACTCTCCCCACTGAGCCCTGCTTTTCTTCCCGTGGAGCCTGTCTGCAGTAGGCAGTGTCCAGGCAGAGAGGGGAAGCCTGGTCCCTAACAACATGAATGAATGCAGGGAAGCCCTCCCTGCTTGGGAGATAGAAATCTCTCACTCTCCGTTGCTGGGCTCATCAATAATTCAGGAGCTGCTGTCAGGTCTGATCTCTGCAATGGCTTCCTCAATATTTCAGCTCCTTCTCTAGAGCCCGTTTCTTAGCAACCAGATCATCCATGCTCTTCAGGAGGGCTGCTGGGCTGTATGCTCCCTGGGCCCCTGGTCCAGTAAGTGGGCAGGGGGTGGAGCCACCCATGCCACCTGGAATTGGCAACTTTGGCCCTCACTGCCGAGGGACAGTGCTGCATATGGAGAGAGGCGTTGTGCTCCCAGGTCCATTCAGGGCAGGAGCAGATGGATAAGAAGGAGAATTTTAGAAGGAGGCTGGTGCTGCTGGCCTGGCTAAAACTGACACCCCCCTCCTGTTCCTACCGTGGGTTAGGCCTGCCCTTGCCCCTCTCTGCTCCCTAGGCGTGGGGAAGAGGAGTGTTCTCCCTTCTCCCCCTTACCCAGGCTTAAGTGCTGGTTCCCCTTGTGGCCCAGGTGTGGTGGAGGCTTGCCTCCTGCATCAGCTGAGACGCCGCGCCGCCGGCTTCCTGCGCAGTGACAAGGTGGCTGCTCTGTTCACCAAGGTGGGGAAGACGTGTCCAGTGGCTGGGGAGATTTGCCACAAGGTACAAGAGCTGCAGCAACAAGTAGAGGGCAGGTGAGCTCTGGGCCTGGCCCTCCCACCCCTCCCTTCTGCTCTTACCATCTGGTATTGGCTACTTCCCAGGTTGGCTTTTGGGCTCATTTCTTGAGGGGCATCTCGGTACCAGCATCAGGGTAGGTGTTGGCCCCTTGCAGGCACTAGGCCCTATCCCCCTGCCCTCAGCTCCCGGCTTCTAGTCAGTCCTCTGGGCTCTGGTCTTAGGGCACCAAACTCCACTCCCAGTGCCACTAGTCTGGGTCTCGGCCCTGGGCTCTTGCACTCCTAAAGCCCACCCCTCTTTGCAGGAAACCCTTGGTGAGTAACCAGGAAACCCTGCGGAGACAGGGCTCTGCCAGTGGGAAGGCCCCAGCCCTCAGCCCACAGGCCTTGAAACACATATGGGTACGCACAGCGCTCATCGAGAAGGTGCTGGACAGGGTCGTGCAGTACCTGGTGGAGAACTGCAGGTGAATGCCCCTTCCTGGGGCCCACCTCCTGACCTTTCCTTCAGCCCCACCCCTCAGCATGCTCAGATGTCCAGCACAAGCCACAGGCACGCCCACTGTCACCTGTAGCTCCTCAAAAGCATAGACCACACCAGGCACCCCACCAAGCTCCGTTCTTTTGGGTTTATTCCTTCTTGGTGACTAACAAGAATAGTCTCTGTGGGAATGTCCCTGCTTGGTGAGCTTGACCGCCCTGGGATGAGTCCGGGAGCCCAGCAGTGCCCCTGTCTGTCTCTCCCACTGGCAGCAAGTACTATGAGAAGGAGGCGTTACTGGCAGACCCTGTGTTTGGTCCCATCTTGGCCTGTCTTCTAGGTGAGCCTAAGAGCAGAGACGCCTCTGCTGGGCCAATGGGGGCTTAGGGGCAGGTGTAGGGGGTACCATCTGAGTGGCTGTGTCTGTCTCCACAGTGGGACCCTGTGCCTTGGAGTACACCAAGCTCAAGACAGCCGATCACTACTGGACTGACCCTTCTGCTGATGAGCTTGTCCAGAGACACCGTATCCGGGGTCCCTTTAATCGCCAGGACTCCCCTGCAAAACGCCCAGCCCTAGGAGTAGGCATCCCTCTTCCTGCCCCGTGTGCTCATCCAAGTTATGCCCATGGGCATGTAGGGGGGAGCAGCTGGCCTTCATGTTCTTTACAGACACAGGCCGGGACTTGGAGATGCCCCAAGGTAGTGGCCACCTCAGAAGAGCCTCTTCCCCACACTGGCACTTAATGCCAAGAACACATAATGCCCAGGGACACACCCGGCTGACAGCAAACCAGGGGCAGGAAGGAGCCGTGGTGTCGTCCAGAGAGGGTCCGCAAGGAAGTCCAGGGTCCTCAACCTCCCAGGTTGATGTCCCAGGGCTGGGGCTGAGCTGGGGCTCTGTGCAGATCCGGAAGCGGCACTCGAGCGGCAGCACCTCGGAGGACAGGCTGGCCGCCTGTGCCCGCGAGTACGTGGAGTCCCTGCACCAGAACTCAAGGACGCGGCTGCTCTATGGCAAGAACAACGTGCTGGTGCAGCCGGTAGGAAAGCCTGGTGCCCGCCCCTTACCTTCCTCCTCCAAAGGCCCCGGGACCGGAACCTTCCAGACATGTGTATCCCTTTCCTAAGGGGCTTGACCAGAGAGAAGGGAGATAAGGATCTCACCCCCACTTCACTGTCTCACACCCAGTCATGAACTTGCAGGAGCCGGAAATGGCATCTGCTCTGGCAAACTGAGAACCAGGCCGTCTGGGGACAGGAATGGCAGCCAGCGGGGGGGGAACGCCCAGCTCGGGTATGGCTGGCTCAGGACATACTTGGCAATCAGGAGACGGACAGGGCAGAGCCAGTGGCTCCAGGCCAGCCAGGAAGAGGATATGCCCACATCCACATGTGGCTCACGTTCCCCCTGCTCTCACCGGGCCCCCAGTCCAGCGCCCCGTGACTGGCCCGGCTTGGCCTGCGGACTCCCACGTGGAGTTCATTTTCCATAGGCCATCCCTGGGAGACTCCCAGCCCCTCGTCATCTCTGTCTTCTTGTGTGTCTCCTCCCTGTAGAAGGAGGACATGGAGGCTGTCCCTGGCTACCTCTCCCTGCATCAGTCTGCAGAGAGCCTAACCCTGAAGTGGACTCCCAACCAGCTCATGAATGGGACTCTGGGGGACTCTGAGCTAGAAAAGAGGTGGGGGCTTTGGGACTCACTCCCAGGAGCCAGGGAAGGGAGTAAGAGCTTGCCACCAGGCCGGGGGGTGGAAAAGCGTAGCCTGCTCCAGGAGGCAGGCCTCACACTGTATCGGATGCCAAGAATCGCAGAGAGGCTGCCTGGAACTATTCCCAAGCTCTCTAAGACCCAGCCAGGCCTGGGCATTAAGAGGGTTGCCTGAGCCAAGCTCTAGGCATCTGACACTGCCGGGCTCTGTGCCATGAGGGCAGCATGGAGCCCAGAGGGGCATGGCTGGCTGAGGTTACTTCTTGGCTGCAGTGATCCTGTCTTCAGGGTAGTTTCACAGGTGCTGGGGCCAGGAGATGAGGAAGGCAGGATGGCTGGTCTTGGGACACAGTGACACCAGTCTGGTTTCTTTCCAGTGTTTACTGGGACTATGCCCTGGTTGTGCCCTTCAGTCAGATTGTCTGCATCCACTGCCACCAGCAAAGTGAGCCTCCTTTGTCCTGGGTACAGGGGTGGGGGAGGAGAGGCTGCCTCTCCCGGTCACATGCCGAGCACGGCCCATTGGGCGTCTTGTCCTCCGTTTGTCATCCCCACACTCTAGCCCTGCTGTCCTCTTACCAAGTCTGGGGGCCTGGCCAGCTGGGCTGCGATGAGGGCCAGGAGGTCTCGGAGGCCCCTCCTCACTCACCCATGTTCAACCCCCCACCCCCAGAGAACGGTGGCACACTCGTACTGGTGAGCCAGGATGGCATCCAGAGGCCACCGCTGCACTTCCCACAGGGAGGACACCTGCTGTCCTTTTTGTCCTGCCTGGAGAACGGACTTCTGCCTCGAGGACAGCTAGAGCCCCCACTCTGGACCCAGCAGGGGAAGGTACCTCAGGGCTTAGGAGGCTGTGGATGAAGGGGTGTGTGAGGTGGGTTCTCTGCCTACCTCCCTTCCTTTCCCCACACGGAGTTCTTAGGAGCAGCCTTGGGTGGGACCCTGGAATGGACCCCACCCTGCACAAGCTAACTGCCCACCTCTCCCTCCCCAGGGGAAGGTGTTCCCCAAGCTACGGAAACGCGGCAGCGTGCGGCCTGTGGATGTGGAGGAGATGGGCACGGGGTGGGCCATGGACTACGTGTTCCGGATTGTTTACCCTGGTCACAGACACGAGCACAGTGAGTGTCCCTCACTGCTTCTGCGGAGGAGAAGGGTGCTCGGGGCGGTGGGGGAGCACAGCCTCACCCAGGGGGGGCGGCAGGCGGGGTCCACGACCAGGCCAGGATAAGGCCAGAGGTTCGGGGCTTAGTCTCTCACTGGGCCTTTTACCTGCAGCTGCCCTCCCGAGAGTTTGCTTTTCTTCTACCTGCTCTTTCCCTCCCCTTGTCACCCCAAGAATCTTGGCTCAGCCGATCCAGGAGTCTCTATACGATATTCTCTTAGTCATACTTTCACACCCTGCCCCAGGGGTAAGAATGTGGTGAGACCAGATACAGGAGGTGAACTCTCCATTTTGCCTCAGCCCACTGCCTGACCTCCATGAGGCCTGGGTGCCGGGGTCAGTGCTTCTTTGTGGGTGATGCAAATTGTTCACTGACTCTGCTGGAGCCAGAACCCTTCTCAAACCAGCTACTGACGAGAGGAGCTGTAACTGGAGTAGGGCGTGCGGCTGAAAAGGGTGAGACTTTCAGCTTGGAGCAGGACGAGGGTGGGGCTGAAAGACCGCTTGGCACTGGTGGGTCCTGCCCCACCTGGCTGTGCACTGCTGGGCCCCACCAGGTATCGACCGACACCAGAGTTCCTTTTCCGGGCAGCAGGCTCTGCTCCCTGTTCTCCGGACCGGACCCACTGATCTGGGAAGAAGGTCAGGGGATGTGCCAGCCTAGATCATTTGCCGCCAGAGCACCTGCTTCCTAAATGTTCTGACTTGTGCCAGTTAGTTGTCAACAAGTTGCCTCTGTATTAACAGACGGGTTTTCCAGACTGCAAACACATACCCACAGCACAAGGAGTTCCAACAGGCTTGGTGGGCACAAGATGTGGTGACCCGCTCCCCTCTGATGTGCCTGACTAGGAGACGCATCTGCCAGGCGTGTTGGCGAGCTTGGCATTTAACCTCCGGCGATCGCTCGGCTTAGATTACTCAGCCTGCACTTCCTCTCTCCAAGCCTTGGCATTTCCCACTTCTGGTCACTTCACTTCAAGATCCACTTCCCTGGAGGGCAAGCGGGGGCTCCACAGAGCTGAAACCCAGTAGGGTGACTCAGGCTCCTCGAGAGCAGCCTTGGGAAACCCTTGGAGGAAAAGGTTGGATTTTTAGTCTGAAGAGGAGGGTTCAGGGAAATCGAGTTTGGCCCGGCCTGACCATGATGCAAGGTGAAGGATGATTGGGATCCAGCCGCCAACAGTGGTGCCCAGCCTGAGCCAGGGCTGGGGAGCGCCTGTGCTGCCAGCCCATCCCAGCTGGCCCCCGTCCTTCCCTGCCCTGGCTCCCCCCCTCGGTTCTCTCTTGTCTGTTCTTTCTAGGGAGGGTCTTCTCCGAGGAGTGGAGCTCTGTAGCTGCTACTGTCCCCCCACTTTCTTCCATACTCTCCCCAGTAAATCATCCAAAGACTCTCAGGTCCCCCCTTCCACTCTTCGTGCACTGTAGGCTGAAGGTGACCCAGATGCCTCTGCTCCCCAGGAGGACGGAGTCTGGTCTCCCCTGCCCCAGGACTAGGGTCCTTATGCTCTGCCTCTCTCGCTGTTCTCTTTGAGCAGTCACTATTAACTACCACCACCTAGCGGCCAGCCGCGCGGCCTCGGTGGACGATGATGAGGAAGAGGAGGATAAGCTACACGCGATGCTCTCAATGATCTGCTCGCGGAACCTCACAGCTCCCAATCCGATGAAAGGTTTTTATCCCTCCCCTTCTCCCTGCCCTACCCTGTCCTTCTGCCCCACCCTCCTGGGCCCACCTGCCACCCACCGCAGGGCTCAAATGGCAGTGTTGGCATTATGGGACTTGTACCTAGGGTGGTTCCCTTTCATCGAGAGGCAGGTCCGGGAGGGCGGAAGAAGGTGTTGGCAAGAAGAGTGGATGCGACAAAATGCAGTGGGGTCCCCACTGAGTCTGTAAGGAGAGGGAAGAGACCCACCAGGTGGGAAGGTCTGATGGTCTGGCTTCCCCCAGAAACCCCGAATGGCTGTTGAGCCCTTTCCCACTCCCGGGCGTCATGTGGGCAGGCCCAAGGCAGCGCCTCTCTCTTCCTCCCCTGCTGGCTGGGCAGACCAGCCTCTCGGCCCTGTGCCTCCGAGTCCTGCCTCTATGAAACAGGACGGACGTACCAGGCCCCTCCTGGGCGGGGGTAGGGGCTAGACGGCTCATGCAGACGGGAGTCACCAGTGGGTCAGCTGAGGGGTTGGGGCTGCCATGGAAGGAGACCCAGGGCTCAGTTTACCCAGCAAGCCTGGGTGCTCCAGCAGGCACTGCCTGGTGCTTTAGTATGAAATCTGGATACATCTGCCAGGGATATAAGTCAGGTGCATTCTGCCCTCACAGGCCTCAGGGTACACAATTGCAGAAGTCCCTTTATTGTAAATGGCACGGCCCAGTGCCCACAGCTGCTCTGTCTGTCACCCATCTTAGCACAGAGCTAGGCCAGTGAAGAGGGACCCCACTTTCTGGAGTGTAATCACCCAGGGAACCTGTGAGACTTAGGCTGGGGTGCCCAAGGGACATGCATTACAAAAGGCCAGCTCTCTTGGAATTTAGGGGAACTTCCCCATTCTCAAGCCACAGAGTTAATTTTTACCCCTTTCCCAGCCCTACAGAGGGTGTCTAAGGACACGTGATATTCACTTTATGCTCCACAAATTTCTGCTGAAGAGTCCAGTTCCTTAACCACCAATTCAGTGATGAGTCTCCCTCTCTCTGGGCAACCAAGTCCCGTGGCCTAGCCCACGCCTAGCACCCCCTCAGCATGGCCCTGCCAGCTGCCCCCCACTCACCACATGCCCCCCTTCACGACTGCCCTCCCTCCCAGCCAGCCCAGTTGGATGTGCAGGCCAGCCCAGGTGGGAACCCTGGGGACCCTCACTCGATGTTTGTCACCTGTACACAGCCTGCCGCCTGGTTCCTTGTAAGCCTGGGCTTGGGGCTGATGCTTATTACAGGTTAACTGACTTTAAGCAACATCAGGAAAAGCTGAGTCAGGAGGGCCCAGGCTGACCCTTCTTACCCCCAGGAACTGGTAGTCAGGCTGGGGGGTGGGGGGCTCCAGCCGAGCCCCTGTCCTGGAAGACTTGATGGTAGGAGGCCCCTCCCTGACCAGTTTTAATACCGGGGCCTCCGGGTTCAGAGAAACGTCCAGGCCCACAGGGTGCAGAGGCCTCGGGGCTTGTCTCAGAATTATTTTGGGGAACTCGGGGGTGAGATCCACCCAGTACGTCAGCATGCAGCCCCTGGGACTCCAGTACTTGGGAGAGGGGAGGAGGCAGGGGAGCAGAGTCAGCAGGTGGTTGGGGGCGATGGTGCGAGAGGCCCCACCTCCACTCCAGTCCATAATGACAACACTGTTGAGTCCGTCCTGCTGGCTGTTGCTTTTCAGGCCTGCAACATGCTTGACTTGTGCATGTGAACCAAGTGGCGGGTGTCCAGACTCTCCTCTCCTTCCCCTCCCCCTTCTCCTGCTGCCTCCCACAGAGCAGAGATGCTGTTCACTCTAATTCTGCTCCAGGCCAGGCACCTTTCACTCGGAGTCTTAGGGGCTGTGGGGTTCAACCACCCTGATTGTTTTGCTTCAAACTTTCCTCAAGCTCAGAGGAGAGAGTCAGAGTCAAAGCTGACCCAGCCCGGCCCCCTCCCAGCCTGCCACCCCTTGCCCAGTCACTCCAGAGCTCCCACTGTCTGCACTGGGTTAACTCAGAGATGCAGCGTTCCATGCTGGCTGGTTCAGCTCCTTCCTGGAGAATTAAGGTGAAGAGCATTGACCCAGGAGACTTGCCCTGGCTGAGCCCTGCTTTCCCAGCACGAGCTCGTTTCCCTGCGTGCCCACCCTCTGCACCTGTTGCCCCCCTTGCCTGCACGCCTGCTGCCTGCTGCCTGCCTGGCTGGGCCTGCTCCCACTCAGCTCCTCTCAAGACTGGTCTCTCTCCTTGCCTGCTGTCCTGGCCTGAACTGGGCCCTCTGCCCCACCCCACCCCACGCCACCCGCATTTGTCCTCCCCTCTTCTCTTCCCTGAGTCTTCTGCATGGCTTGCAAGGCCTCATTCCCAGAGCCGCAGCCCCTCCACACCAAGTGTGTTCCCTTAATTTGCCTCCTGGTGGAGCTGAAGGGCCAGATTGCTACAAAAATCCCACCCTGGGTCTGGGAAGAGATTTCTGGCCGAGACCGGGCAGCCCCTGAGAGGACGGGAGGGGGCTCAGCTCAGCCCTCCTGATCAAGGCACCCCTAGAGCTGGAGTCTGGCCCCACAGAAAGCAGATAAAGGTCTGCTCCAGACTCAGCAGACCAGGGCTCACAGAAAGCAACACTGCTTGAAAGAAGTCCTCGCCGCGCACACACAGCTCTCTCTTTCCCCGTTCTTCACTCTTCTCTGTTCTCTCCCTCCCTCCTAGTCCTTTCACTTCCCGCCCTCACTTTGCTTCCTCTCCGTGGCTCACTGGACCTGCCGGAGTGCCCCCTGGGCTGTGCCCTGCCCCACTTGGGCCCTAGAAGCTCTCACTGGTCACGACTTCTCATTCAGACCAGCTGGGCTGGCGCAGGAGGCTCCATCTATTGTACTTGGGGTGCAGATGTGTCTAAGGAGCAGTTTTCTGAGGCTGCCCCTGGGGACATTCTTCCCGGTGGTTGGTGGAATGGTGTGCCCAGCTGCTGCCCTCAAGCCAGTGGTGGCCTGGGAGCCCTGGGACCTTGGCCCTTCCTGTCAGCCCGCCTGTGTGTGTGTGGGTTGGGGGGACACTGTGCTGAGCGCAGTCAGGCTGGGCGAAGACGGGGAACTCAGGGAGGACCCACGGGAGCGGGCAGCAGGGATGCGAGGCCTGCCCAGGGAGCTCTGACCCTCGTTCGTCGCTGGCCACCAGGTCTAGAACCCCCAGGGGCCCTCAGGGGCTTTGATCAGTGGAGACTTGGCACAGGAAAGCTGGCAGTGTTCCGGGCCCGGGCGTCTGCCTGTGCCTCTCAGAGTTTGTCTGAGGGGACCAGGCTGAGTCACCGAAGAACACGCTTGCTGGCAGCAGCTCAGGGAGCTCAGGCCTCTGTTGTTCCTTCTCTTGCTTTCTCTTTCCTCTACAAAAGCAAGTGTTTTCCATTGCTGATAGCAAGTTGGAGAGAACAAACACAGTCATCCACAGATCAGAGTATTCCCTCACACGCAGAAAAATCAGGTGGAGGCTGGGAAGTGTCGCACCTCCCTCTCACCACTGCCATCTCTGGGCTCTGGACCCGGCAGGTGCCACCCCCGTGGCTCTCCACCAATGGGTGGCTTCATGCTGCAGCTCTGGGCACAGAGGTGGGCGTGCTGCAGGGTGGCTGGGGCAGGAGGCTTGCCAGACCCTGACCACGGCCCCCCTCCTGTCCTCAGATGCTGGTGACATGATCGAGATGCAGGGCTTTGGGCCCAGCCTGCCGGCCTGGCACCTAGAGCCCCCGTGTAGCCAGGGCTCTCCCTGCCTCTCCTGCTCCACCAGCAGCTCCCCATATGCAACTCCCAAGCGCTGCACCTGTGTCCCAGACCGGTGAGTGGGCAGGGAGAATATCGCCATGCGGGTCTGTCCATCTGTGTGTACGGGCCAGTCTGTGTCACTTGCCTGGCACGGTGGCCTCGACTTGGTTAGACCTGGGTCTGAATTTCATTTCTGATACGCATGTGACTTTGGCAAGTTACTGTCTCTACGAGCCTCTATGTGACTGAGCCTCAGTTTCCTCCTCTGTAAAGCGGGGCTCATACCACATGCTTCCTAATGCTTTTGTGAGGACTAAATGAGGTACAGAACCTGTGGGAGTACCCAGAGCTATGCCTGGCAGTGCAGGCGCTCAGTCCTTGTGAGCCCCCTGCCCAGTGCAGACACGGGCCCCGCCCCCAGGGTGTGTGTCTGGGAACAGGCAGCAGGTCCCTGGACTCCTGCATGTGCCGGCGGTCATGCCAGTTCCATGTGCCAGCACTGATGCTTTTGCCGGCCCCTTGCCTTTACCTGTTGCTTCTTTTCACCTGTTACTTCTGAGGGCTTCAAGGTGATTCTCTCCATTTTCACTTGAGGAAACCAGAATTCACTCACATGAGGTGAAGCTGGTACCCAAGGTCCCTTGGGTGGTTGGAGGCCAGTCTGGGCCCACAGCAGCTCTACCTGGCTGGCTGGCTGGCTGGCAGCCACAGGGAGCCCCCAACATGCCGCTGAGCTGTGACCTCTCCCTGCACCACCCAGAGCTCCCCCAAGGTCCTTAGTTCTCGCCCTCCCCCACCAGAGGGCACACGGCCCTCTGAGCCAGGCTGGTCCCACAGGTTGCCCCTCAGGCTGCTGTGCGAGAGCATGAAGAGGCAGATCGTGTCTCGGGCCTTCTATGGCTGTGAGTGTGGGGTGCAGTCGGGCCATGGGAGGCAGGGGCGGGGGGCGGGTTCGGTGATCACAACCTCCTGGCTCACCAACCCCTCCCCAGGGCTGGCACACTGCCGCCACCTGTCCACGGTGCGGACTCACCTGTCGGCACTGGTGCACCACAACATCATCCCGCCTGCCCGGCCCCCAGGGGCGTCAGGGGGCCTCACCAAGGACGTGTGGAGCAAGTATCAGAAGGATGAAAAGGTACACACTCTGGGGCGCTGGGGCAAGGCCGGGCTGGGGGCTGGGTGCAGTCTGCTCTGGAGCAGCTGTCACAGGCCGGCTGGGCGTTCAGGTGAAAGGTGGCAGTGGTCCAGGTTGACAGGCCAGAACTGATGGCCGTGGAGAGGCCTGGGTCCTGGTAGACTGGCAGCTGGGGCTGTGGGTTTCCATGGGAAGAGCACTGGTTCATTCTGCTTCCATATTACCCTACAACCTTGGGCAAATCTCTGCACCTTTCTGGGCTTCATTCCTGCCCTGCGAGAAGGAGGGGATCTCATCGAGCTCTAATGTGAGGCAGGCGGGGTGTGACTGCCCCAAAGCAGGGCTTCCCTGGGCTGCAGCAGAGGGACCCAGGCACTGTTCCCAGCCCCAGCTCTCCGTGGGACGGGGTCCCCCAGGGACCACAGGGACTGTGGGGACGGCACAGCCTGTACCCCTTGGGCCCCTCAGAACTACAAGGAACTGGAGCTGCTGCGGCAAGTTTACTATGGAGGCGTGGAGCACGAGATCCGCAAGGATGTGTGGCCCTTTCTGCTTGGCCACTACAAGTTCGGCATGAGCAAGAAGGAGATGGAGCAGGTGGGGAAGCCCATTCCCATGGGGACAGGGAGACGGGTGGTCGGGCCAAGGGACCCAAGGAAAGAGGCCTCAGAAGGCCCAGCCTCTTCAAACATGGCCGAGGACAATGTTAGCAGAGAAAAATGTCTTTATGGCCAGGCCCAAGCCTGCTTTTTGGGGGTTTTTTTTTGAGAGAGAGAGAGAGTGTACATCATCGGTATGTTGTTCCACTTATATATGTGTTCATTGGTTGATTCTCGTATGTGCCCTGACCGGGGATGAAACCCACAACCTTGGCGTATCGGGATGACACTCCAACCAACTGAGCTACGCAGCCGGGACCCCAAGCCTAGTCTTTAGCTGTCCCAGCCCCTGCAGAGGAGGGGCCCAGGGACGCCCTCCCCCACGGTCATGGTGTGGTCCTAGTACAGGTGGACACAGTGGTGGCAGCAAGGTACCAGCGGGTACTGGCGGAGTGGAAGGCCTGCGAGGCCGTGGTGCGGCAGCGGGAGCGGGAGGCTCACCCGGCCACGTTCACCAAGTTCTCCTCGGGCAGCAGCATCGACAGCCATGTGCAGCGCCTCATCCACCGAGATTCCACCATCAGTAATGACGTGAGCCAGACAGGGCCTAGGGGTGAGGGGTGGGGTGCCGCCGACCCGCGTTCTGCCCCCAGAGTCCCGAGCACCAGCCCCACCTCTAGTGCTCACTGGTGTGGGAGCCCTGGAAAGGGTTTTGTGTGTCTGTGTCTCGTTTTCTTTCACTGACACATGGAGTGACTGTCACTTCTCTGGGTGTGCAAGAACAAAGCAAGATAGTGCGCTGTGCTCTGTTTTAATGGACTAGCAGGGAAAGGTGGATTTATGGGGACTAGGGGAGTCCCTCCTCCCTACAGAGAGGCCTCAAGGCTAAGAATACGCAGCCCTGGCTTCTAGTCCAGGTCCACTACTGAGAAGCTGAGGGACTTGTCTCCCCATCTCTGGGCCTCCGTGTCCCCTCCCAGCTCTGCTATCCTTTGCCGGCACAGACTTCGCTGCTCGCTGTTGCCAGAGACCAGGGCAGCACTCCGAGAGGAGCTGTTGTGTCTACTGGCGGGAGCTCCTGCGTGGGAGTCTGTCACCGCCAGTCACCACCGTGAGAGAGGACCGTGCGGAGCCTGCTCGGCTTGCCTGGGTCAGGGCCATCCCCCGCCTGTAGGTGGATGCGTCCCAGAAGCTGGGCTCGTCCAGAAGGGATAAGTCTCCATTTTAAGGACATTCTTTTACTAACTTACTTTTTTTTCTTTAAAACTGCCACTTTAAATAATGTGTATTCTTGCTACTTTACTAAATCCTTACTAATATTAACAGAAAACTCAAGCTGTAGCAAAATGACCAGGGCACACTCTCCTTTCCATTTGCTTTGTCCTTAGTCCCCTCTTGGCAAGCCCCCGCCCTCCCCTGGCTTCGGGTTCTGCAAAGTCCCTATTCTGCACCAGAGCCCCGAGGCCTGGCTCGCGGACTGCGGCTCCCTCGCCTGCCCTGCTTGGAGGCTGTGGTTTGCCTTCACCCCGTGGCCTTACCTGAGACCACGCTTCTTGCCCAAAGTGAAAACTCCCTTTAGCACCCCCTTCCCTACACAGTCCAAAGAGAAAAAAAAGCAAAACTGCAAACCAGTCTGCGCGTGTCTCTTCTCCCCGTGACTTGTCCGTGGTGATGGTCTGTTTCTAATCAGCAGCACATGTTTCTTTTCACTTCTTACTTCTCAGCTTGTTTGAGGCTAATGCAACCGATGAGGCAGTCCCTACAAAAATCTCCTGCCTTGTTCTGAACAGTCGGTACTGACAGAAAGGAAGAACTTGTTTTCCCTAACACCCTCAACCTGGTGCCCCCCAGGCTGCCCTACAGCCGCACGAGACGTCAGTTCCCCCGAGGGGCAGCCACACTCCCTCCGGTGTTCCTAGGATGGCACAGCTCACCCTGGCCACGCAGTGCCATGGAGTGTCCAGGCCTCGAGTGCCCCTCCTACGCTCAGCAGCCGCAGGAAACCCCGAGTGTTTCACTTTTCGTCAGGCCCCAGGAAGAAGCCAGAGGAGGGGACTGGATAGGGCCGACGTCATGATTGCCTGGAAGCTGACTTCCCTCCTGGTCAGCTGGGTCAGACAGGCTTGGCACCCAGGGGAGGCCATGCCCGAGGCCATGGGGTGAGAGCAGGAGATTACGAAGAGATGGAATCCTCCATCCTTCTCCTCCACTGTGCCCCCAGGAAGGAGACACTGAGCACAGGGAAGGTGCTGGAGTGCAGGTGTGAGCTCCTCCCTCTGTTCTCTCCCACCAGGTGTTTATCTCTGTGGATGACCTGGAGCCCCCAAAGCCCCCAGGCACTGAAGATTCCAGACAGGAGCCTGAGGAGGATGCAGGCGCAGGGCCCCCGGGCACTGCCGTGGTGGAGCAGCAGCAGTCAGTGGAGTTCGATTCTCCGGACTCGGGACTGCCTTCCTCTCGCAACTACTCCGTGGCCTCAGGCATCCAGTCGAGCATTGATGAGGGGCCGAGTGTGGGCTTCGAGGAGGACTGCGGTGGGGAGGAAGGCTCTGATGGGCCAGTGCCTTCAGTCCACGCTTTCTCTGAGCCCCGAGATCCCAGCCAAGAGAAGGCCTCAGAGGCAGGGGAGGAGCTGGTGGCCGTGTGCACCTCTGCCTACACTGTATGTGGGTGTTCCCCAGGCCCTGTCCTCAGCCTGCCCCAGTCAGCCTGCCCCAGACCCACCCTGCCATCCCCGCGCGTGGGCACAGGCTGGAGGGTGGAAGGAGGGGTGCCCTGACCATCTTGGGGGGCCCCAAGCCTGTCTCTCCGCATCCCTAGAGGACTGAACTCTCAGTCCCTTGGCATTCTTTGTGAATGTCGCTGCTGGCGCCCAGCTCACCCCTGAGGGGCCCCCGCTCTTTCAGATAGAACTACTGGACACTGTGGCCTTAAATCTGCACCGAATTGACAAGGACGTGCAGCGATGTGACCGCAACTACTGGTACTTCACATCCCCCAACCTGGAGAGGCTCAGAGACGTCATGTGCAGGTGCCGCTGCAGGGTGGGGCCTGGCGGGTGGCAGGGCCCCTGCCCCACCCCTCCTCACTCGTAGGGCCTTTCAGATCACAGCTCAGCCACACCTCAGGAAGCCCTGCCTGACTTTGCTCACTCCAGGGCCGCCCCCCCACACTACCCCTCTGCCTGAACCCGAGCGAGTGCCTTGAGAACAGGGGTGCTGGGTTCTTCACCATTGTTCTGCCAGTGCTGGAGGGTCACGCAAAGGCTGACGTCTGTCTGAGTAGTGGCCTGCTCTGGAGGCTGTCTCCCAAGGACCTGAGGGGAGGGGAGGATGGCACACACCCACAGTGACCGTCCCTGGCATTTCAGCTACGTGTGGGAACACCTGGACATGGGCTATGTGCAGGGCATGTGTGATTTGCTGGCACCTCTCCTGGTCATCCTTGATGACGGTGAGTGATGGGGCTCGGGATGGGGGAGTGTTTCCAGAATGGTGCCAGGGTTGGGCTCACAAAAGCTGGAGAAGAAAAGAGGACTGCTAGGTTTGGGTGGGTGAGAACATTAGCCAACCCTGTCCCCTGGGCCACAGGACACCCCCTGTAAAGTGAGGTGTTGGGGTCTCCTGCCCTATGGCCTCACTCCCCTCTCCCCTCAGACCAGCTGGCCTACAGCTGTTTCAGCCACCTTATGAAGAGGATGAGCCAGAACTTCCCCAATGGGGGCGCCATGGACACCCACTTTGCCAACATGCGTTCCCTCATCCAGGTGAGGTCTGTTGCCACCTGTGGGCACTTGACCAGACACTACTGGGCTTCTCCATCTTCCACAGGGAGGCCAGGGAGTGTCCCCCAAATTATTTTATGTATAAGCTTAATTTCTTTCATTTCAGAAACACATTCTTTTTTCTAAGTACAGCTGACTTACACAAGCAGACGTTAATGTGGGCTCCTGTTCCTGGTTCCCCCGAGCTCTGGGCTGGGAGGAGCCCGCCGTGGGCTTGAGGCCCCACCTTTCTGAGGGGGACCTTGGCAGCTGAGGTGCCCCTCTGGATTCTCAGCCGGCGCGTGTGGGAGCAGGGCCGGCCCTTTCCCTGAGCCGTCCTTCCCGCCGGCCTCGGTGTGGCTTCTTCTGTAAACCCTTAGTAAAAAGACTGTCCAGTTAGTCTTCAGTTGGTTATTCAGGGAGACTGTTCTGTAACTTAGTTGTAATTCCCGTTTGTATCTGGGAGGAAGTGAATGTAACTTTCACCTACTTTGCGCCACCTTGGATTCCCCCTGAAATCCAATATTCTATTAGTTTCAGGTGTACAGCACAGTGGTTAGACATATTCCTAATTTATGAGGTGAGATGGTCCCCCCATAAGTCTGGCACCCACCTGGCACCATACACTATACGGTCATTACAACATTACTGACCATATTCCCTGTGCTGGACTTTACATGCCCGTGACAGTCCTGTGACCACCGATCTGTACTTCGCAGTCCCTTCACCTTTTCCGCCCAGGCCCCAACTTCCCTCCTCTCTGGCAACCGTCACCAGTCTGTTCTGTGTATCTGTGAGTCTGCTTCTGGGACGTACATTGTTTTCAATGTTACAAATCGAGGTGGGATGTCCGTAAGGGAATGCAGTTCTGGTGAGTGGTGTGGTTGACGATGCAGCCAAACACTCAGGACGTGGTATAGCTCCAAAGAGAGTGCAACCCAGAGAGACAGGCGGGCCGCAGAGCGCAGCCTCGGGGGCACAGGAGGGCTCGAGTGCAGCTGCCGGGCACCACAGCAGAAGGGGCCTGGTGGAGGGCAGGGTGACGTGGGGTCAGTCCTCCCTTTCTCCACTCACACAAGATCCTGGACTCGGAGCTGTTTGAACTGATGCACCAGAACGGGGACTACACCCACTTCTACTTCTGTTACCGCTGGTTCTTGCTGGATTTTAAGAGAGGTGAGAGAAGGGTTGGCTGGTGGGTCTGGGGTCAGGGGCAGTAGGCGATCCTTTTTCCCCTAAGGCGGTGGTGCTGGATCCTAGCTGCACTTTGGAACCACTTGGTGAACTTTCTATCTAGAAATACCAGTGCCCTGGGCTCTACCCAGTGTCAGACTGCTAGTGTGGCTGGCTGCCTAGACATCGAGGTTTTCAAAGCTCCTTGGGTGAATCCAAAACGGGGACAGAGTGGAAAATCACCCTCAGGCAATGGTTTTGGGAACTGTTATCAAACCAAATCTTCCCTGAACACCAGGGTTTGTAAAAGTAGAGCTGCTCTAGCTGAAGAGAGGGTGGTGTAGAGTCCGAATGAGCCCAGGGTGCAGGAATTACCGAGGAGGACAGGGTCTTGGCCTGAGGCAGGGAACCCTGCCCCCTTGGACTGGGCTGTCTGTAGGGGAGAGTACCCCAGGGCTTCGGCCCCCGGAGTTCTGTCCCCACCTGTGGCCCATTGGAGGCCCGTGCGCAGCCAGGCTCAGCCTGAGCCCCTGGCTGTGCCCAGAGCTGCCGTATGAAGACGTGTTCGCTGTGTGGGAGGTGATCTGGGCGGCCCGGCACATCTCCTCAGAGCACTTCGTCCTGTTCATTGCCCTGGCCCTGGTGGAGGCCTACCGTGAGATCATCCGTGACAACAACATGGACTTCACCGACATCATCAAGTTCTTCAACGGTAGGAGCTTGTCCAGCCCATCCTGGCCTGGGCAGGGTTGGAGGGGCTCAGAAGTGTCGGCTTCCCCATAAGCAGATGTCAGGAGTCCAGCAGGTGGACACCGAGTGGGTGGGCAGCCCCAAGGCCCCTCCCAGACTACTGCCTTTGCTCCGGCATTTCCACAGTTGTCCATGTTTTCTGCAGAACGAGCTGAGCGTCATGACGCCCAGGAGATCCTGCAGATCGCCCGGGACCTCGTCCACAAGGTGCAGATGCTCATAGAGAACAAGTGAGGGCTGCCAGCCGAGGCAGCAGCCAGCCAGAGCCTAGGCTCCGGGTGCCCTGGGCCCTGCAGGGAAAGGCTCGGGGCAGCACTGCGGAGACCGCCCCAACTCTCAGCCAGCCCTGCCTGCCCAGCTGTGTTTCTAACAAAGTGCTTGTGAGCCTGGGATCTGACTCCGGGCAGTTCTGGCCCTGCGAAGCAAGTTGGGGGGCCAGGGTGGGAAGGGGCGGCCTCAGGGAGCAGCTGACTTGGGGAATACCTACTCTGTTCCCCTCTCAAACACCTGGAAATAGCCCCACTGCCACCAGCAGCCTCAGGCTGAACTGCTCCCACATCCTCTCCTGGCACAGCCTGGGGCCCTCTAGAGTGATCAGGGCCGTAGTTGCCTGGGCCCCTCTGGTGAGGGTCACATGAAGCAAGGGGCCTCTGGTGTATTTACTCTGAGAGTCCCTTTGTGGGCCCAGTGCCTGCGTGCCAGTCCCAGCTGGGGCGGCCAGAATGGCTGCCTTCCAGGCCCTCCTGTGAGACTGAGGGCCGTCCGGAGCTGGGCCCTGGGTGCGAGCAGCCCACCTCAGTAGCACTGCCGCCACCTCTGGCCACCTGAGGCAACCCCACGCACTCCCCGAGCCCGCACAGCAGGCATGCGTGTATCTGTACGATCGCTCTCTTGCCGCCTTGTCTTGCTTCACACCCCAGATCCACCCCAGAAAGCCATGTCGGTGACACTTTGCCAGCTGAAGGGTCTGGAATGTGGTCGGAGCCCTTCCTCTAGAGAGGAGTCCCAGGATAATTCTTTAGGGAGGCGATCCTGTCACAGCCTCCTATCAAAGGTGACCCCAAAACTTGGAGGCAGCCCATTGTCCTGGGCATCTGCTGAGCCCCTGAGGTTGGAGGGAAGGAGGTGCCGGGGTCCCCCTTGTTTGTTGCTGGTGAGGAGCAAGGCTAGCTCTGCCTTCCAGAGGCTTCTCAGGATGTTGAGAGGCATTCGGACCCAGAGCCCCCCTTGGAAGATCCTCACACATTGGGGGGCGGGCGCACGTCATGCTGCTTGCTCTGTCATCCCCTCCCCACCCCCAACACATGCAGGCTAGCTGGCCTTGCCCCAGGGCGGGGGCCTGCCCTCAGTCTGCCCCCAGACTAAGGTCTGGAGACTTCCTATACTTGAGAAACATGAAAAAGGGCCTAGAAGTCCTGTGTCTGGCACAGCCTCCCCACGCACCCCTGCCCTGGGCACTGCACGGCCTGTTTGGGGGCCAGCCCGCCCCATTGCCCACCCGTGTCCGTGAGTCCTTGGCCTCTACCAAGCTCAGAGGCCATTGTGTGCCTGCCTTAGTGACTCAGTGGTTTTGTGAGGAACAGAGTCTGTACGTATTTTGGCTCAAAAACTGCTCTTCAGTGTGACAAACCAATAAACACAGCACTCGGCAATGCTTGGAGGCTCCGGCTGCTTGTGTGCTGGCACAGGACAGCCAGTGGCTGTGTGCTGGGGAATTCTATAATCTCCGCAATGGAGCGGCAAAGAAGGCCAACACCACAAGGCAAGGATGGTGAGAAGAGAACCAGACTTTCTAAGAGAGAGGGACCTCAGATACAGGCTGGTGGAGGTGGGGATGACAAGCAGACTCCAGGTGTGGAGAAAGCCCTTAGGGCCAGCAGTCCTGTCTCGGATTGAGCAATGGCCCCCGCAGCCCGTGGACTGGCGTAGGCCCCTGTCCCACTGCTCCCCTGGCCTGCCCTCCTGAACAGCTACAGTGATAAACCGGAGCTTGACTGGGAATCTGCAAAAGCCACCCGGCCCCTCCAACCAGTGGGGAAGGACCCTGCCCTGCCAGCCTCGGCTCCTGCCCACTGAACACTGTCTCTGGGATACCTGCTTCAGACTGGAGGCCCTGGGGGAGGGTGGCATCAAGAGGGCTCAAACCTGTTGAGGCACGGAAAGGGCCAAATCGCAGGTTCCTGCCTGCCTTCCCCCACTCCAGAGGACTGCTGCCCATCAGCCAGGGTCCCAGGTAGAGGGCTCCCATTACCAGCACCTGGTCTGATCTAGAAGGCACTGACTTTCAGAGCATTAGGGCTTGTCAACTCACTCCCAGCTGCCCGGGTGGGAAACGACACAGGAAGCTCTGGGGCCAGGGGAACTTACACGGCTCTCAAGGGAACACTGCCCTCAGCTCACCCCCCACCCCAGAGCTGATCCTGTTGCCTGGAGAATCAGAATTTCCTCTGCTGTGACTCAACCTGAAAGTGCACTAAAGGCCCCTGATATATTAGCCTGGAAGTGGCCTGGTTCCTTCGCACACTCTCACCCAGAAGTTCTGGCCACGAATGGTCTGGGACCGGAGGGAATCCCAAAATGATGGGGCAGCTGAAGGTATCGTGTGTGGATAGGAGGAATAGGAAGTGTGAGAATGGCACTACAAACATCTCGGGGACCCCTCTAATTCTGGAAGTAAGTCTCCCTCTCTCACAGCATAGCTGGTAAGTGGATTCTTTCTTGGGATTTTTTTGCTTCCCAATGCCCTGGCGATAGGCCCCTCTCCTGCAGCTGCAGATGAGCTGGGGCTGGTGGGTTCTGTCCTTTTGAGTGCACAGTGGGGAATTTCTGCCTATTCTTACGATATAGTGATAGCTCTCAAAAGATACTGGCTTGTCACTACCAGAGGCAGTCTTCATGTCTGTCCCCAGTGCCCGGCCCAGTGTCTGACACGGAGTGAGCACTCAGGAAATACTAAGGAAAGTAAGCCTAACGGTAGGTAGGCAGGCAGGTTGGCCTCCCCTTAATTGAAGGCACGCATCTCTCCCCAAAACTACCAGCAGAGGGAGCCAGCATCTCACAAGTGAAAGGGGCTGATGGGATTGTGGGCCAGTTGGGAGGGTCACTAGGTGTGGTCTTTTGAAGCTGGCCTTTTTTCAAAGAATAGAACCCTTGCAAGACATTAGTGGCCACCACTCCCTTCCCCAAGGATGACACCCCCAGATCCACCCAGGAAGAGAAACTGAGTCAGTTCCCGACCTGGGGCTGGGACTGGAGCAGGTGTCTGGGAGTTAAGAAGGGCAGGGTGACTCACCTGTCTGCTCTATGGCTAGGCCCGGCCGACTGCTCTCTCGCCTCCCCACTTATTCCCAAGACAGCCTGCCCAAAGGGCTGGTTTCCCCCAAACTGGGGAGAGAAGATGTAGTTACAGGGACAAAGGCTTTCCAGACCTGGTTTGCAGGCCCAGTTTAGAACATGCCTTTGACCTCTTCCTCTTCTTGTTCCTCTCCCTGAGGAACAAAAGACAGTTTTATGGACTCCCCAGTTAACTTGTCCTAACCTCTCCCCCATGAACACATCTCTTCCCCGGTCTCTCACCTTCTGTGAACAGACCCTCCACCTTTCCCATTGGATCCTTCTTGAGTTCAAGATCCTCCAGTTCCACAACAGGCCCCAGGGCAGGAAGGCACAAGCTCGGGGAGAAGTCTGTACCGTTGAGAGGTCAGACAAGCCACACAGGGTCCCAGCCTAGCTGTGCGACTGTAACAAGTCACATAGCTGTCTCAAACCCGTTTCCTTTTCTGCCAGAATGAGGCTAGTTCTTGGCTTATTTACTTCACTGTGTTATAAGATAAAACAAGATAGTGTTTGTAAAAGTGGTTTGAGGAGGTACTGCAAAAGCACAGGGACGACCAGAACTGTAGTTCTCAGAGCCTGCTGAAGATGCGGCACTGGAAGAAGACGAAAGGGCCCTCATCTTCTCCTGTAACTGACCAGCATGGAAGAGGACCACTCCCCAGATGCCATCAGGGAGAGAACCTGCAGTCTCTCGCTGGAGGTCCCTGAGTCTCTACTTTCTTTCTCAGCAAAAGGACCCAGATGTTCCAGGCTGGCAGCTTCATCTCAGGTTTCAGTGCAAGTTTATTTCAATTTTATATTTTATTCCAGGCAAGTGCTTATTACATGTATAGTATTCATGTCTCGATACCTAAAGTCTTGGAGCATGAACAGCCACTAGAATACAGTTCAATAGTAAAAATACAATATGTACAAAAGTAGGGTTTTTGTAGTTTTTTTTCCCACACAGCAGATGTATCCAAACACATAAAAATCTCTACATCTGGGGTCACTACAATTTATATTTCAGGAAACGGAGACACAGTGACCGAGTCCTCACTGTAAACAAGGGCCACCTCTTTGGGGGTTGGGGGTGGGACCTTGGGATGGGGGAGAAGCAGCTGTTCCTAGAGAGCAGGGGTTCTGGTGACCCCGCCATTCCCTCCAGGCATCCCTGCCCTTCTTTGGCCCCCCAAGGAACCAACCTCCCCCTCTCCCCGAGGTAAAGATTCCCAGCCAGTGAGCCACTCAGAACATCAAAAAGTAAAACACGCATGAGAGGTAAGATGTGTGTGTGCGCGTGCGCGCGCCCGCACGCGCGTCCCCCAGGCTGGAAGGGCTGGGGGGAGGGGCGGGGCAGGCGGTCCCACAGGGTGAGGATAGACAAGGTCCTGATAGCTCTCAGAGGGGGGGAGTGCCCAAAGGGCTGGGCGGCGGCTGCCCTCTCGGGCACACAGCGTCACAGCATTCACAAACAAAAACAGCAACAACACCCATCGTCACCAATCTGGACAGAGTCATTCGGCACTAGATTCCGAGCCCCCACTGCTGGGGGCGGAGAGGGGCACGGGCAGCGGGCGGATGAGGTATCTGTGCGGCCCGGGGGGAGACTGGCTAACACTCTTCTAACTCTGGACCGGTCTCAGGACGCAGGGAGGTGAGCAGAGTGGAGGCGCTCCCCCAGTGCCTCTACCTGTTCCCGGGGTGCCAGGCCTGCCCTCCCTTCTTCCCACTGTCATTGTGGGGAAAAGGCTCTTCGGACCACCAGGGTGGGGGTAGTGGCTGCAGGCGCAGGGAGGCAGCGAGCCTGTGAAAGGGGAGGCTACGTGCAGCTCCCTCCTGGAGGCCTCTGTGGGGTCCGAGAGGCCTCCCCTTCCCCCACCCTCAGGAGACAAATGAGGCCAAGGCCCCTGGAAGGTCCCCAGGACCAAGAAGGAACTGAAAGGCTGTTCTTAGACATAGAAATCTACTTAAGACCTCTGCTGGGGCTCTTCTGGAGGATCCTGGGTCTCAACACTGACCGCCACTCCACCCCCCTACTCCCGCCCGTCAGTGCAAACTTCACATCCAGGGACACTCTTCCTCCTCCTACACGGAAAGGCCATTGGTGAGTGTCCAGGTGGGGAGCCAAGTGTGCATGGTGTGTGTCTGACACAAGGCCACCTGTAATAAATGCCCACATAGAAAGAGAAGCCAGTCTGCCAAGGCAGAGGCAGGGAAAGCAGCATCTCCTACCGCCTGTTCCCCTAGCCTTGGCCCCGAAGGACAGACCTTTCCTCAGAGGAAGGCAGTGGCACATGGCAGCCCCCTTAGAGAGGGCACACTCAACGAGCCCACCGGAGACAGGGGGTCGTTCACAGCTAAGAGATGCCGCTGGAGACATAGGAGCTGGGGCAGCTGCAGCAGCCCTGCCAGTGTGGCCCCGCCCCTCTCCACAGGTGCCCAGGGCCTATCTGGGAAAGGGCTGGGTTTGAACTTCCTGATTGTCTCAACAGTGTGGCTTCAGGATCCTGGAACCCAGACCGGTGGCTGGTCCACGTGTCCCAGGGGGCACCCCAAACACCCATCCTTCGGGGGAGTGAGAGCACTGAGCAGAGGCCCAGGAATCAGGGAAATGCATGCCTTCTGGAGCTGAAAGCCCCACAAAGGTGGCAACAGGACTCCAGAGCAGCGCAGTCCAGACCCAGGCTGGGAGGTGGGGCGGTGGGGTGAACCATGGGTTCGGCCAAGCCCTTCCTTTCCCACCCCTCCCTCAACCTGCCCTCTAGAGGTCAGGAGCCCAGTAAGGGTTGAGAGGCTTAGAAGCTTGGCAGCAGCTTGGGTTTGGTTTACTGTTGGTAGAGAACCATCTTAAGTAAGTTTCTGCTGTAAGGAATCACAGTGACTGCAACTGGGTAGGAGAGCCCTGGCCTGGGGCTCCCACCTGTCTGGGCAGGACTCCAGACCAGCCACTTCTAGGACCTGTCACCTGTACTCAGAGCAGGGTCCACAGTGGGCCCCAACTTTCTGGGCCAAGTTGCCTCAGTTCAGCCCGCCCCGCCTTTCCCCCCCAAAGGCCTGGGAAGGGAAGGCTGAGGCTCTGGAGGGGAGGGCCCGGACTCTTGCCATATCACCAGACAAGCATAGCAGCAGCACAGGAAGGCGGTGAGGGAGAAGTCGGAGAACAGGACGCCCACATGGAACTGGTTTCAGGGGACAGGACGGGAAGGCAGGACTGGCACCAGGCCAACAGGCAGCATGTCCACCAGAGTGCGTCTCACCACTTTATCAAGTCCTCGTGCAGTGGGCTGACCCCTACCCTATGCCCAGCTCCCTGGGGGGGGCCCCTCCCTCCCCTGG